TACCAACTTTGCCTGTTATAATTTATAATAACATGGTTAATAACATAAAATCGTTTTAGCCTTAATAGGATGTATTAATTTTTAGGTGAAAGAATTAAGGGAAAGAACCTTTGTTGAGTATTGGCATTCCTTATGATTCACATTGGATAAGATTCATAAAACCAGACCTAGTATTTTTTGTGTCATTTTCTGCTTGAATTTTTTTCTGTTAAGATCTGCTTGATTTTTACTTTACAGATGTCCTATTAATTATTTGCCATGTGGATGGTGTAATGAAAAATTTTGACAGCAAAATTTAATGAGGTTACAAATATGAAATAAAAATCGAACAAATTTTAGAGAAAATTCAAGCGGAGAATCTGAATAGGTGTGTGAGTAGGAGAAGGTTAATGAAGAGTGAAATTTTGCTCAAAAAGTAAGAGGAGTAGGTACCGTACAAAGCGTGAAAATTCAACACTAACTGGTCAAATGTGTGCAAGTTTAATTTTGCCTACCATACTTGAAAGGGTAATTGTGTCTTTTTAATTGATAAATTTTTTAATAAAAATTATTCATTTTTGTCTTTTTCTGGTATGATTATTTATTTAATTTTCTATATTTCTTTTGTCTTTTGAGTGAGCGACGAGTGGCAAAGCTGGTGGGTAGGTGCCCTTATCAAAATAATCAAGAGTTCATATTCTTGCGCACGCTGCTGCTGATCTGGCTAATGACGCAGCCTCACGTCGGCTTCGTGGATCCTCCTAGATTAATTTCGTTTGTGGAGGAGAGACATCAAACATGTGACATCATCATCCAAAATCTTCTTTTATTGCTACGGAAAAAAAAAAAAACATTTTCCCCCTCAATTTAAAAACATTTGTTTATCTTCACTTGTTCTATTTAAGTAATGTGGCTCTTATGTTTTTTTTTCTCGAATTATTCCAAATGAATTTTCAATAATACATAGTTTTCCATCTCCACTCAATAGTAATAGCGTATTCGTTGGTAAAAGTTTTCTATTGTTAGTGGCCCATGCACCGCATATCTATATAAAATTTGACTGTTTATGCATTAGACGAAATTTGACTTTTGATGTCTTGTGGGCACCATACCCATGCATCAACGATTGTATAAACGACTGTTTATTTTGTTCGTACTATATATACATAAATAAACTATTGTTGTAGCTTGAAATATTTTTCTTTTTGCACTTTTATTTTCACTTGAGAAGTAATATATTTATTTTTTATGAGTAAAATAATGTATTTAGTTGAATAGAAGAATAATTTATTAAGTAGGTTTAAAAGTGATATGTATAAACAATGTTATCTACTTGATTTGATGATCTACAATACAAATTGTAGTACAATGCCTCAATGTTTTCAAAAGGTTACAAATATAAAATCTCTTTTAGGATAACTACTAAATATATGTTTATTTCCAAACTTATGTTATTTTAATTTTAGCTTCTCACAAATAGGCCCATTTTAATATGATATTTTATATAAAAACTCTTAGAGAGCATATTTGGAGGAAAAAATCACAGAATTTTTTCACTTATAAGTCTAACACAGAATTTTTCTAAAATATTGGGCTTGAATATTATATAAATAACGTTCTTTTGATTTTACAAAAAAAAAAAAAAAAACAATGATGTTTTCTTTATTTCTCTTTTTATTTATTTATCTATAATTTTCAACATAAACTTGTATGAGCTGCGGCTGAAGCCGTGAGCTTTTGGGTGGAGCAGCAGTTGAGCAGAAGGCAGAAGGCAGAAGGGTCCAGTTGTGTCGGGTCTCCATCCGTCCATGCTGTAATTGAATTTTGACAAATTGTCTCTAAATCTCATCAGAATTTAGCTTTTCCAGTTCGCTGCGTACACCTCCTCCTCAACTGTAATTGGTCGAATCTACCAATAGTCCAACTGTCGGTTCCCCATTGGACAGCACTTCAATAATTGCTAAATTCCATCGATTCCAATTTCCAAACTAACGTTGTATAAACAATAATAATAATAATAAATAAAACATTAAACGTGGTGCTCCCAGCTTGGTTTGACAAATGTGCCGCGTTTTTAGAGTGTGTGTGACATGTGCATCAGTAATATGAATCTACGTGTTATAATATGAGTCAGTCACACAACAAATCTTTATGATTTTTAAGTGTCATAAATGAATCAGTAATATCACATCACATGATATGATCATTAAAGTTTTTTAATATAAAAAATAGTTTAAATTACTCTAATTTACTGGAGGGGTACTCGGGACTTGGGTGTAAGAAAGCGAGCTATCATGACCAACTGACTTAACTTACACTTGTAATTATTAAAGTTTTAAAAGAACGTAATCAATAGTAGGAAAAAAACATAAAATAACACTTAATACCAAGTTTTATGAGATGTTAATTTTGACATTGCTCTTATTGCCTTCAAATTCAAGTAAGATTTGGCTACTCATATGGAGTAATTTCATCTTTCAATTCTTATTATTTTATGTCCACATAACAATTTGACATATGGGGTGAATACCTTTCAAGCATGTACCTTTGTTTACTCAGTCCCATGCTGATCTCACCTTACGTGAGGAGAAGACTTTTATGAAATTGGGATATCACTATTTTGCTATCCCTAACCAATTACGTTATAACAAGCATGATATCACTTCCATATGATAGAGTATTATTGATCGAAAATAGCAAAATAATTTTATCCCGGCTGCAACTAAATTTATCTCCCATGTGAGGAAGGTGCCCAAGTTTCTCTCAACTTTGTCCTGGCCAAGAAAAAGGCCTACCAACGCAATACAAAAGACCTACTCACCCACCGCCAATGGACCATTTTGATGATAGACATATTTATGGACAGCAGCGGAGGAGTACGACAAAATATGGGAGACTTTGGAGGGAAAACCAAAGCATTATTGATGACAACGCAAATGCACGCTTATCATTGGACACTTTTCTCTTTGTGGGCCATGTGTTACGTACACTTACCCACAAGGCCTATTTCGGAGCCCACTATGCTTTCGAATCTTTTTATTATATGTCATTATTAAGTAATCACAAAACAATAAACAAATCCCTTTGCATGCTTTTGTTTTTATTTTTTTTACTTTCCTAACTAAGCTAATTAATTCGTTTTGTTTAATCAACTAGAGGCGTATCTTCTACATGAAGTACTTCTACTCATAATCGTTTTTATTATAAACGATTTTATTAAAAGAAGATTGAAAAGCACTTGTTAAATGCTTTTTTAAAAACCCTTTTTTTTATATCAATAAATACTTTTGAGATGTGATGACAAACATAGTCAGAAACGCTTTCAGTTGTCAAAAGTGAGGGCTTCTAGCCATTCCAAACACTAAGCTCACTATATATATTTTTTTTTATGTGAAATGATTTACACAAATCTAATTAGTATATAATGTATTTGTCTTTAAACCAAATTCATCCCTTGTATTTCTTTATAAAATAATACTATTAAAAATCCAAGATAAAAGCTTTTTGATTTCTCAAGAATTCATAGAAGACCAATTAAGAAGTGAAAAAAACTCAAACGAATATATATTTTCTTGTTACTCAAACATATTCCTTGTGTTGAATCAAGTATTTTTATTTGTTTATTTGACAATAACCCTGATATATGTTCATTACTTGTTTTTGTATGCTGTATTTTATTTTGCAACGGTGTGAGTAATATTTTTGAAGTTGAAATTCTCTTCTTTCAGATAATTAAAAACAATTATCAAGTAAATTTGTGGACGAGTATTCCAGATATGTGGTCAAGCGGCGGATGACGCATCCTAGTAGAAAAAAAATGAGAAGGAAAAACAAAGAAAAAAATGAGAAGGAAAAACAGAAAAGAAAACGGTAGATGAGCCCTTCGTTGTGCAGAAGGGGTGTGCTACAAATTGAAAGTCTAATAAATTTATCTTTAGAAAAAATGAAACGAAGACATGATGGGAGTTGGTTGCGCATATGGAGAGGAGACCAAAGTCTTCTGTTGGAATAACACCATTTTTTTAATGATTTGGTATGGATGTGCAACGTCTTAGGGCTCTAAAGTATTTATAGGTGGGAGATTGAAAATTAATTTTGAGGAAACGTAATACAACTGTATTTTTTTTTTCAAGTTAAAAGACATAAAAAACCTACTTGAATAATTTTTTTCTGTTGGAAAAGATGTTTTATTAAAAATAAAAAAACACCATAAGAGTGTACAATAGATAGCATTGAATCATCCAATACTATCCAAAACCTAATCATAAGAGAGATGAACAAAGACGTAATCTTTAAAAGAGATTTGCGGCCTAGCAAGAACCAACCCAGCATAGTGACAACACAAAAAGAATGAAACCCCAACCAAGAAACCAAACTGAAAGAAGATAAGGAACCAAATTAAAGAAAAATTGTAACATAATTGAGTCTTGGAATGACATTGGCATAAAATGAAAGTATAAAGAGTTATAAAACCAAAATGAATATTCGGAGAGCAAATTTAATTAAAGTTCAAAGTTCATGAGCATTGCTAAATTCTTCCCAAATAGAACGAAGGTAAAAGAAAAAGTCTATTCTACCCAACAGCAGAGTATCCATCTTCTTCATCTTCCCCACTATAATATATTATTATTAATCTCAAAACTTTCATATATATATTTTTACTTTTTATGCTATTGTTGGTTGCATTTTTCTCATATTATACACGTAAGTGTTTGTTAAAGGAGGATTTACAGACAAATATTCATTAGGTGTCTAGGAGTTTCAAACCTCTGTTCACATGTTCCTGGGCATCACATTACATTTGTTGGTGGAAGGTCTTGGCTATTTATATTGTTTCTGATTAACATTGCTGCTCCAACCATCGGTTGACACACGTCGTTTGTTAACTAGTCATGTGTCAACTCGTGTTATGAGAAGATCGTTATCTAAATGAACGATCAGTATTTATTGGATCACTAATTCTTATTAGCAGCAAGCGTGATATGCCATGATTCTTGCTTTTCGTCATGAGCATTTGAGGCGAGGATAACCTTGTCAGGCTTATAATCTCTTTTCTCTACTTCAGGGTTTTGCAAGGCGTGTAGGCCCACAAAAAGATCCACTTAAAATAATAATTGCTTCAACAGACTAATAATTAACTAAATCAAAATACCCACAAAAAATTTACATTACAAACCACTTCACTCGGGAAGAACTCAAAAGCAACATTTAATCCATATTTACAATGCTCCATCCAATGTACTTCCTGGTGCCAGGACTTGTCCTGCAACAGTCTTCCAATCCTGTGTAAACACCAAAAGAAATGAGAACATGAAGGCAGCTTTTAGCTTGTTTGAAATGAAAGTAAACGATGATTGTGGGATCGAGGAGAGAGTTGATAAGCACTAGTCTTACAAATTTTGGATCCACTGTTCCTGTTTATACAGGAGCCCTTGATTGTAGCTTTACCTGATTTGCTCATACTGCCAATTTTGGATCCACTGTTCCTGCTGCATTGCCTTCTCCTGTAAGAATTTGGTCTGGATCCTGGAAAATAAATTCACTCACTGGTTAAATTGAAAAGCATAATGGGGGTAAAACTAGGCAAGTATGATAATTACCTCCATTCCCCATTTGATGTAATCTGGGGACTCACAGGCCTTATATTCCTCAACCAAACTCTGAAGTATCTCTCTTGATTCGTCAAATTCCGAAAGGTCATTCTCCTGTCCACGTTTTATGTCATACTTGTGTGAGACACAAAAATTACAAACATCCCATAATGTTGGAACACTCGAAAAGGTTTCTCATCCAACACCAGTGATGCTAACTGATTAAAAAGAAAAGGATGAAAAAGGGGGAAGAAAAAGAAATGCTTCTGCGCTTGCTAATTAGTTAACTACATGGAATATGCATATGACATATATATACGGAAGCATATCAATTTGCACTCATTAAGTAAAAAACTTCTTGCTCAGCATTTTAATTGTTAAACGCTTGTTTTTTATTTTAAAAAACAAAACCAAAAATCCAAGACTGCGTAGTGGTAGCATCAAGAAATTGAGAAAACACGTCTGAAGTAATACTAACAGTTGTAGGAATGGTAACTTACTGCAAACATTGGGAACTTCCGATAGTTGTCAAGAAAGGCTTGCTTCTTTCTTAGCATCAAATACTGGCTCAAACACTTACTGAAAAGGTGGCGAATACTAGTATGGCTTGCCAGCATAAGGCCACTGACCTAAAAAGACACAACATACACAGAATCTTTATTATAAAATAGGGCGTTATTTTAAATAAAAACATCAATCCAAAATTTTGGTCAAATTAACTTTGAAGTGCAAGTATAACAACGAAAGAGAGTTTCTACACTTGATTATTACAAAAATCTGACAAAAAAGCGAATCTCAGATAAGAATTAGATCCCTACCCTATGGGCCGTTTGCACATATGGAGACTTTCTAGACAAAGCAACCTACACAGAAAAACAGAAAGTAAAAGATCAAATATCCAGATAGTGTAGAAGAAAAATTAGATTTATCTCAAATTTAATTTCTTTCACTGTGTTAAAACACCTGAATGCTTGCAGGGCCCCATTCAATAAAGTTAACAAGCTTTCTTTCACGTATCCTCTGCAAACTTTCATGAACCTGATTACATAGAAAAAGGCACAATAAACCACTGTAAAAACAAAAGAAAATAGCTGAAGAGGAACTGAGGTGCTTAACATTCTACAACAACCAAGAAATTATGGGTCACATTTCCACAAAAATTCAAGGCATTACTAATATAATAAGAGAATCTGGCCAACACTTAGCAGCTATATATGATAATTGACAAAATTTCATTTCAAGTTTCTAATGGTAAAATATGATCATGAAATGAATAATGAAAATCTTCATCAATATAGATTTTGCTGGTTTGCAAAAACCGTAGGATTACAATGCAAGTTACAATACTATTATTGTTACAACCTGAGTAGGGTCAACTTCTCCTTGAATGATGTTTAATATTGATATGTACTTCGCTTGACTAGCTTCTTTTGTTCGAGCATATGAGGAAACCATTATATTTTTTGTCTGCAAAATGAGAATAATGTCAAGGAATCATTTAATTCTGCTTTGTGGAATATAAAAAGAGGTTATCAAAGCTTCTTACCTGCAGAAGTCTTCTCATAACATCAAGTACAGTGGTTTTGCGAATTACATTAGCCTGCCAAGAGGAGATATACATGCATCAAAAAGCTAAAATTATAGTTTATAAGCATAAAACGAGCATTAAATGTTTGCAACAATAAGAGAGGCCAAATCAATTCCCCTCTATTTGGACACTTGCTCAAGCATGTGCCTTCACACACAGAAGTACATGGATGTATCCATAAACACACAAATAGACATATATAAGGGTATAAACTGACATGCATGAGTGAATCATACCTGGCGCTCAACTGTGAGAGGTGTATACCCTGTCATTAGAAAATGGCATCTTGGTGTTGGAATTAAAGATGCAAGAAGACCAACCAAGTCATTGTTCATGTATCCTGGATATCTCAGAGTGGTTGTGCTGGCAGACATTACAGTAGAAACCAAAGAATTTGTTTGAGCAAAGGTTGGATTTGTTAAATGAAGGCGCTCAACAGCAATTCTATTCAATGCAGTGTTATCAAGGACCACAACACAATCAGCATTAAGCGTTAGACGTTTAAGCGTCAAAAGTGAGTTATAGGGCTGGACCACCACATCACTTGTTTCCATCTGGTTAGGAAATACACTGTATGTCTGAACCAGTTTTTTGCTGTATCGATCATTCAAAGTCTCCAGTAGATAGGAACCCATGCCTGCATCATATGTTATGAATAAACTCAAAATTTATTCAAGTAATAAAGTTCTTAAAGTACTTAAGAAGCCATAAAGAAGGACACTTGTGTTATACTAGAAAGCACATCACAGCCATTGAAGCCAGATTTTGCCCAAATTTTTCCATTGAAGCACACCACCACATCATATGTAGTAGCTAATTCCCTATATGAATGGTCACACTTCCAATGTTACATTTTACTTATTTGACCCAGCATTGTAGTCAATAGGAAGTATTTTGACCAATCCAACCAAAAAAAGAAAGTATTTGGACCAAATGTGTATTTAAATCATGATTGGAAAAAATAAAAAGATAAACACTAAACAGAAGAAAAGAAACCTGAGCCTGTTCCTCCAGCAATTGAATGGCACAGAACAAATCCTTCAAGACTATCACTTCCATCAGCTTCTCTATCAATCATGTCCATTATAGCCTCTTCAACACCCTTTCCCTGAAGAGAATTTACAACAACCTCATTCAACTTACATGGAAGCTAAAGCATAAAGCCTTAATATCATAAAATTACTATGGAACTGGAAAGTATTTACAGAGTTTTGTCTCTAAACATCTGACTACATACAAACCTGATCATATCCACTGGCCCAATTATTTCCTGCGCCACCTCCATGATCTGAAACAAAGATGTTTTCATGATTGTACAGATTTCGATATTCACTGTTTTGAATACCATTAATCACTCTTGGCTCCAGGTCAATCAGCAAAGCTCGCGGTATGTAGTGCTGATCATCAGCTTGATAGAAAAACACATCTTTCCGATCTCCACCCTGCAGTATTTCAATCAAAAGATAATTACACATCTAAATCAAGAGCGGGACTGAAGAATAACTATTTTCAATATGCATTTCCTGATCAGCACTTGATAAGGTTGCTATGTTGCCTGCTGCCTGATGACCCTTACAGCCACAATTCAGATAAAAAAATGTACTGCTCCTGATTGCTTTTCTTGTTGGCACGTTTGATTACTTTAGCCAGTTGTGCAAAACAACAGAAGACCACCAATTCTTAGTCTACCTTTGTACTAAGATGGAAATCAACACAACTTAGTCCGGACATTCACCTCAAAGATCTCAGTAAGGAGAACAATTCGAAGAAAAGAAATGCTTTATCTATCATTCAGCCATCACCAGAAAATTCTCAATTCAACTCAGACTTTTTAATTGTAATTGTAATTGTTTATTATACTAACTGAGAAAAAATATATATTTCTAAACTGAGCCTCAAATGACGACTCATATAAGTTTAGACAATTATAAATTCGATTTCCTATTCCTCATCATGCATACCCCAAACGCTTACATTCCCAAAAACAGAATGTGGGCGACTTTAAATTCACTAATTCATAACCCCACCAAAAAAAAATATCACACTTCAACTAGGCCTAGCACGGCAACTTCAAATTCCATTCCTTTTCCCAAGAAGAATTTTCTCACAAACCAAACATAGAGAGTAGCTGTGTAAGATTATATATAGTAAGAAGTGAATGAAGAATCACCTGAGTGGCAAAGTCCTCGAGAATTCCTTCTTTGCTGATTCCATGCTCGAGGCAGAGTTGTTTCCAGAACTCCATGCCGATCTGATTCCCGCATTGTCCGACCTGCAATGTGATGATCTCTCTCGGCATTTTCCCGCACTTTCTCACTCTCAGAAGAAAACCTAGGGTTTGTTTGGACCGATGGAAAACGAAAAACAATAGAAATGGCGGCAGACTATGAAGAAGGCTAATGTGCACTTTTCAGTCCGACTTTCCGCCCAAATCGAAGAAACAGCAATGAAATAGTATATCCGCGCGGCTATACTCCTAGTATCATAGTACGGCCGCGCGGCTATACTTTTTTGACACGTGGCGAGCAGCTCCCCAGGCGGGTTTCGTTTTTCATAAATAGTATCGCCGTAGGTTTAATTATTAAAAAATCGTAGAGCCGCTCGGCCATACTATTTTTAACACGTGGCCAAATGGCGGTCTAACAAATAGTATAGCCGCTCGGCTATACTCGGATTTTTTAATAATAAACATAGTAGAGCCGAGCGGCTATACTACGGGTTTTATAAAAATAGTATAGCCGCTCGGCTCGACTATTTTTGACACGTGGCGAAATGGACACTAGCGGAGGCGGGTTACTTTTAAATAAATAGTACAGCCGCGCGGCTATACCTGTTGACACGTGGCAAGGCAAGCGCAAGAGCCAGGCGGGCCCTTTTTATAAATAGTAGAGCCGGTCGGCTATACTCTGTGTTTTTTTTCTTCTGAAAAGAGTAGAGCCGCGCGGGTATACCCTGGATATTTTAAAAAAAGGAGTTTAGCCGCCCGGCTATAAATATCCTGGCAGTTGAATATGGTGATCCAAGAAACCTTGCGCCTGTACCCCCCATCACTGATTCGAATCCCAATACTGCAGCAACTGTCTGATATCTGGGGGCCAGCCCTCGACTTCAATCAGAAAAGATTTGAGCACGGAGTTCTTGAGCCTTGCAAGTTTCCTCAGGCTTACATGCCATTTGGAGTTGGTTCTCGCAATATATGTTGGCCAACACTTAGCCATGACAGAATTGAAGGTGATTCTGTCACTTATAATTCTCAACTTATTACATTACTTTGGTGTATGTTCAATTATTATTATTATTTTTATTGTCTGTATATTAAGTATAAATACTCACTTGGTTCTCTCGGAGTATCAAAAACTAGTATCCTTTGTCTAGTACTCTAATTTACTCGTTGCCCTCTCCCAATCGCTTGTACATAAAAAAACTAGTATCAATCAATTAATAAATTGGCCATAAAATAAAAATGACAAAAACATGCTCAGATCTTCACCCCTCGTCATCAAATTAATCACCGCCACTGCCACCACCCATCACACTCACTGTTGTCTATCTTATTCTGCTCGGTGACGATTGAGGGAAGAAGATGACTACATATTCGAGGCATCTTCATAATTTCATAAACATGAGGATAGTGAGAGAACCCCATCCCCCTTCCTAACTTTGGCAACAAAAGAAGGTCGTTTCAAGTTTTTTTTATTTTTATGTTTTTCAAGTTCTTGATTCTGGAGTGTGTGGATGTGTGGCCTGTTTTTATTGGGACACTAGTGCCACTTGGCATGGATGAGGTGGCACTAAGTGGTGATCCCTTGTGAGGGGGCGTGTTGAAGATGAACGTGAAAATATAAGTTACGAACGAAAAATTGAAGGCAACTTTAATTTCTAGATTAATTTTTTGATTTTGAACAAATTGGCTATAACAAAGAGTTGAGAAATTTTTGACAATTCTCTTAACTTATTCAAAGCTCAAATGCTCCATTCCAATCTGCCTCCGGGAAACAAAACCAAAGAAAGAATCACAGCGGAGAAGTTGAAGACTTATATCAAATCCCCACGCTGAATGAGTGTTTCAAGCTTCCAACATGAAGGACATGCTGTCCCAAGGCAACTTTCCTATTTCCAAGCTCATCAACCACACTCAAATGCTTGCAAACATCCACCTTAAACTTAACCAATTCTTCTCTCTGAGCACTCAGGAACACCTTCTCAAAACCCAACAGGTGCTTCTGAGGTGAGTTGTGCACTGATGGAGGACTCGAAAACAACAAAACGGTATGGCCTCCACTCATGCTTCCCGTGTTCTTCACCCCCAAATGGATGTCGAAAGCTAGATTTTCACATCTTTCTTGGACAACATCAAGTGATTTGCAACTTGATGAGTGACATACATGATCCTCCTCTAAGGGAATTGATACGAGCTTAGGCGCTCGAACTAGTTTGTGATTGAACGCAGAGTAGCCTAGTCCATCTCCAAACGAATAAACGGTTTCTCCAGTGTAGAATCTGTAAGTCCGGCCAGGGTAACCATTCGAAGCATCCGGTCTCATGTTCATGTTTGTCATTGGTACCTTGTCTACATAAGATTGTGGATACCATGTCATAGGTAGTCTTCCACCTGCAAGAAATTAATACCAATCATCTATCATAGGAAAAATGCTTAACATAGTAAACCTGAAAAGAAATAAGAAACATGAAAAGAGAGTAGACTATAGACAGCTTACTTGGATTATAAAGACCAAAAATCACATCAGCTATGGCAGCTCCACCAGCTTCTCCAGGGTAACCAACCCATAGGATGCTTGTAATTTTACTATCATTTTTCGCGAATGAAATGTCGAACCCTCCTCCAGACATTATGACAAGGATTACAGGGCCTTTGGATGCCTTTGCAACTTCTGTTACTAGAAGTGTTTGCTGTCCTGGAAGATGAAGGTCAATCCTGTCGAGACTCTCTCTCTCTATTGATTGATCTGCACCCACTACAAGCACAGTTGCATCGGCTGAGGCTGCTGCCTTCTTAGCATCATCTACCTGGGCAGTACCACAAGCCACATTGGCGCAGCCAGCGACATAAGTTGTTGCAACTGAGGCACTTAGGCCTTGCAAAGGAGTCGTATACTTGCATGGAATGCCTGCAAAAAAATCCACTAAAATTGTGTAACAGAAACAACTGTATGCAGTTGTTTGATACAAAGAAAGGCTGAATTAATTTTGTGTACCTTCATAATTGCCGATCATTGTCTTTGTGACAGCAGCATTGGGACCAATGACTGCCAAGGATTTGATGGCCGTGGGAGACAGAGGCAGTGATACTGGACTGTTCTTGAGCAATACTATCCCTTGCCTCGCGGTCTCACGGGCTAGCTCCTGGTTCTCTGGGGTACACACATCCTTTGGACCAAGCTTTCCGTAGGGTAGCTTGCTTGGATCACCGTCAAAGAAGCCTAGACGCATTAATGTGGCAAAATTGTTTGAGATGGCCTTGTCAATGGCCGCCTCATTCACAAGTCCTCCTTTCACTGCACCTTCTGTATATTTTCCAAGGAAAGATCCACAGTTGAGATCCAACCCTGCCAAATTCAAACAAGTACAGAAAACTGATTAGTCATGCTTAAAATAGTTTCTTTGTGACATTGGATATACCAAAATATAACAATTGGTGTGACATTGGTGATCTTTGTATGATTTAGAGCACCTTCTCCATTTCTTCTTTATCTTTTCATTCTTATGTTCTTTCGTTTGTTTTTTGTTTTTTTATTTTTGATTTTATTTTTCAATTTCTAATGGAAAATAATGAGTCTTTGCCCCTTAAGCAAAATCTGTGATCACACACATAATGACCAATTTGTAGGATGTCAAATTCACCTGCCAATAAAGCCTTAGCTGCAGCTTCCTCTGGTGTCTTGGTGTAGTGTTGAGTATTGTAGTATACATCTAATGAATCACAATCAGTAACTATGTATCTGCAACAATCCAATATTCCCATCATCATCCTGAATAATCAATCATATCTAATAAGAAAGACTTAATTAGAAGGGAATAGAAATACCCATTTAACTTCCATTCGCCGCGGATGACTCCGGCAAGAAGGTCTGGATCTGCACAGGTTGGTATCCCATTAACCTGGTTGTAAGAACACATGACACTAGCAACATTCCCATCTATAACACAGCTTTTGAATGGCGGTTGAAATGTGTCATCCAAATCTTGCTTTGTTACCTAATCACAAGCAACACAAGATAAATGAAAATGGTGTGCAAATTAAACCAACTACTCAGTCGAATTCACACATTAGGAAAATCCAATTTCTTTACCACTGCATTAAAGTGGTATCTGTCAACCCCTTTCCAATTGTCCAAATCATAAGCTGTATAATGTTTGCAACATGCAGCAACCTTGAGCTTATTTTTGTCACCACCATCTGTCTGCTGAAGGCCTCTAACATAACTCGACCCGTATTTGCTCGACAGCAACGGGTCTTCTCCCGGAGTCTCCTGGCCTCTCCCCCATCTGGGGTCCCTAAATATGTTAATGTTTGGAGACCAATATGTCAATCCTGCCAATCCCACATTGTACATTGCTCTGGCCTCGGTTGAGACCACCTGCCCACACACACATTAAGCTGTTGATCATTCTAAGCACGAAACTAACATCTCTGTCATGGACCACGTGCAACCATACAATACAAGCTATGGTGTTACAAGACAGAGAGAGATGGAAGAAAAGTAGAAGATGACAGATTCAAAAAGAGAAAAGAACAAAAGAAAAAAGGGATTTAACTATGCTCCATTATTTCCTAGACTTTTCCCAAATTTGGATCTATCTCAATAGTCTAGTGTTATGAAAGCTAATTAGCATTAGTGAGTGAGCTTCATTAAATTAAATTATTTTGATCATCGTCTGCTCCACGCGTGTAATGTACAAAACAGAAGATTTTTATTTTTTGTGTGGAAAGATATGATAAGTTATATGCAGTGATTAATGTCACAGGTAATCGATCAGTGTCATCTCTCTTGTACTTTCTTTTCTTCATCTGCAAGCTGGAATGCCCTAAAAGTCTATGTACTTGGGGAATCTGTGACTTAAAAAATCAACTTTTTTGAACAACTATTTACTATTGGTATTAGGTATGGCCAAACCACCACCTAAACACAAGTCAATCATATCTACCAACAAAATCTCCCATTTATACGATCGTAATTATTAAAACTAACCTCTAACAACTGTTACAACTTGCTTCTACTTCAAAATATCTAAAGGGCAATGGGCAAGCGGCTGACAGATGCTTTTCTGTTCAAAAGCTGTAAAAGTGCTTTTCTTTTTTTCTGGATTTGGATTATAGGAGCTTAGAAAAATAAAATAAAAATAAGTCGACAACTTTAGAGAATATACATTTCTGTCATAATTTATTAGTGCCATTGAAGT